TGTGTGTGTGTGTGTGTGGTTCATAGAGAATGAAAATAGAAAGATTAGAGAAGATAGTGATAAAGAGTGAGTGAAGGAGAAGAATATAATAGATAAAGAGATAAAGAGAGAGAGAGAGAGAGAGAGAGAGAGAAGAGAGACAATAAGGACATATTAAAGAGTAAAAAAGAGATAAATGATAGTGAGCAGGCCGAGTTTGTACCGAGATTTTTTAAAAAAAACTCGGTATTGCGCTGTTTTTGGTCTAAAACCGAACGTAGAGGAGCGTTACTTTCACTGGATGTAATAAAGTTCGGTGAGCAGGAGGGGAGAAAGAAAATATATATATATATATATATATATATATATATATATATATATATATATACTACTAATATATAAAGTGGCTTGGGATTCCACCCAAATACAATCCTAGCCTTCCATTTTATTCATTAAAAACTTATCCTGACCCTTCAATCCATTTTATAATTTCTAAAAAATATCAGAAATCATTAATTTTAATATTTATTATGTATAATAAATTTCTTACTGTTATCCCCTTCCTTTTAATTACACCGCCACCAATTTCGATTCAACTTCCTGCACTGTAATAATTTAGTTTCAACCTTACGTTACTTAATATTTCTATATTTCTTCCTGTCTTTCTCGCTTGCCCTACTTCCACTCCTCTAGCCGGCAATTGGGCTTCCTTCGTAAATATAATATTTATTTATTAAGCTAAATTTGTTACGAATTGCCTATTTGACTCTTTGGCTTTGCCAACTTTCGGAGTTCCTCCCACGGTGACGGTAGGTTTTTCTTCTTCAATTATTTCGGTCTCTTTAATTTTTGTAACTTCACTTATGTCTCTTCTTACCGCCATGCTTTTCTTTCGCATTCCACTCTTTCTAAACGCCATGCTTCTTCTCCTCCTTCTTACCTTCTTCTCCTCCCGTCGGCTTCGCATGAGGATTTTTAAAAAGTCATTAAAAAGGAGCTTCTTCGCCTTCGGACAAGGTTTGTCTCTTTTCAACTAGCGAAGGCCGAACGAAGGCTTTGAAAGCTCCGAAAGGTCTTAGGCTTGACGAGCCTCCTATCGAACCGGAAAGATTTGTAAGCATGTTTGATCGCTATTATTTTTGCTATTTTTATCTTCATTTCCATTATCTTCTTAATGGACTAATGGCTCCTACCATTTGATCTCAACATATGAGGTGATGGAGACATGGAAGGGGACTAAGCTAGGCTGCCTGATTCATTTTCAAGATCTTGCTGCATGGAGGATGAGAAAGTGGAGGAGAAGGGAGATATGACGTGGCGCTGCCATGAAATGATTTTTTGGGAGGACATGGAGTTGATGTTTGCTATTTGATAATTTCTTGAGCTGCTCTGCTTAATATAAAGTGGAGAATTTTTTAGGGTTTAGGTTCTCTTTTGGTATTTCATTTTTAAATAAAAATTTTATATATATATATTGGTTTGAATTTGTCCTTAATCTAACCTTAATCATGTATAAATCTTCATAACAAATATCCCCTAAGGATTTTTATGTTTTTGCTGAACCGACCTCTTCTTTTGTCCATGCAATGACTTTCTGTTTATCAATATCTTGTTCGTTGAATAGAGGTGATAAATTTCTTTACCTTTTCTTTGTTTGAATTTGGCCTTAATCTAACCTTAATCATGTATAAATCTTCATAACAAATATCCCCTAAGGATTTTTATGTTTTTGCTGAACCGACCTCTTCTTTTGTCCATGCAATGACTTTCTGTTTATCAATATCTTGTTCGTTGAATAGAGGTGATAAATTTCTTTACCTTTTCTTCCTCTATGTAATTCCTTTGTTTATACAAGCTATTTCACAATTTTCTTTCAGTTTTTGAACTTCTTAGAAATCGTTCGAATAGAAATTGCTATGTTATGCACAAGCTAACCGGGGAAGAAGAAGAAGAATTTAAAAAGGGTAATGCTAAGTGGATAACCACTAAGTTTCATACATTACTCGTGATTATCATTGTGGTCCACCAAGTGTCAGTTTGTCATTGCCAAGCCAACCTTCATATCCATAGCTTCTTAAAAGAAGAAGTGGGGCAGCATTAGCATTTGATCATAAGAAATATCAATTTAGTAACACTAGAAGGGCTTAATTTGAGATAAAGCTTAATTAGATTAGAAGCTGTAAAAGTTTTCTCTGGTAGATTTTTTTATTTATTCCTGTCGTAATGTAATCTTGGTTAGTTTTGCATAGATTTGACTAACTGTATTTTTGTGTTGGCTCGTGCCAATAAAATAGCTAAAACATATGATGCTTTGGAATCAACAGCTATTTTCATTAGAAATTGTAAATTTTGACTCATTGAATTAGCAAAATTGTCTTAAAGAACTAAAGAAACTGGAAACCTTAAAAGGAATCTTTTTTAATGCTTCATTTTAGTAGAGTATTCTTCATGATTACCTGTCCAATTAGTGTCAGTATAATTTTTTTTTCTTTATTGGGTTCTTATCGTTGTGTAATTTCCTTTTTTTTAAAGCAATCAATTCTTTTATGTTCAACCGAAAATTTTCTTTTTGGTTTGAGAATTGTAGTCTACTTTGGGTTTTTACTTGCGTGGAGCTTTGAAATTTAAACATTAACTTATTCTTGCATCATGAATTATCAATTCTTACATATTGTTGATCAAGGACAAAATGAGATCTTAGCAGACTTAGGCTTTGGTCGGTTTTTGGGAATAAAGTAGAAAGGTAACTTTGTTTATCTCATGGGTACATTACTTCTTCACTCAACTTCTCAACCAAATAAGTGGGTTTAACTTAGCTTTAATTCAATTCCTTTATCATTTATTCTCTTTCAATTTCTTATATTGCAACGAGAGCTCACCAAGATAAGAACAACGAGCCACCTAAAAAAAAATGAATGAAAAATAAGAAGGAAAATGAAAGGCATGAAAGTTAAGCAGACCACTCACATTCCCCATGGCTAAGAACACCTCATCAAAGAAGAAAATGATTCCAAACCCACTCAGTCCTATGCCGATCCCTGTTTCAAGGTAGAAAACATGTCGGCAGATAAAATCATCGACACCAATTGAGATGAAACGTTGTTATCTCACCTAATGTATTCCAATCGCAGACAGTCCTACCACTTTCACTTTTTTCTTTTTTAATTTATTCCTTGTATAAATTATGGGTTTCAATATGTATCTTACCTAATTCTTCTCTACACTACTCCACCAATGGATGAATTATCTTTCCATCTATTTTCATCTCAATAGCCTAATGTCAAGTTTTAATGATGGAAACGTTTTGAAGATTATCAATTGATATAAAGAATACTATTAAAGGACTTAAATTTCCTATAATTTTTTTCTATCGGTATATATATATATATATATATATATATATATATATATGGAATTTAGCCTTTAATTTTATACTAATTAAGTTTATGATTTTCTTGACATTATAGGAAGATGTGACATTATAGGAAGATGTGGAACTATTAGCAGAGCTTGACATGGATGGCTAGAGATTTTCGATTTCATGTCCAAGAATAATGTGAAGTATACAATGAAAACAAGTAAAATGATTCATTTGCAGCAAAGATCTGGTACATATTGTATTTGTCTTATTTCATTGGTGGATGCATTCATTTTTTCTCATAAATCATCCTTTGGTTACTAATTTTTGAGTATTGCAGTTGTGCAAGATAGACTCAGAAGGAAAGGCAAGAAAAGTCATATCGTGCTCGTGTGTTGTTGTTAAGGTAAAGGAAATCTAACCTTCTCCATTAGCTCTAAAAGTTTATTCTTGAAGTTCTTATGCCTGTATTTTATAACCATTATATTTTTTTTTCTGGATTTACAGGATTATGGAGAGGATTCACACTATTATAAATATGAATATTATATAATGTGAGATATATGAATTTAGAACTTACAGTGTTATTTTGATGGTACACATTTTTATTATATTATTTATCATTTTGCATAACAAGTGTAACAAACAAAAAATTTAAAACCATTGATACCGGTCCCAAATTTGGGTGAAAAAGATTGAGAGTTGTTTTAGTATTGATAATTTGTGCGCCACACCAAAAAAAAAAAAACTAGCTCCACCACTGGGTGGCCGGAAGGGATCAAGATGGATTCATCACCAGTGCGGCATCAAAGTTTTCAATGGAAAAAAGATGACCATGTAGTTGACAAGAAAGAGAGAGGATACTCCTCTTCATTCAGCTGTCAGGGTAGGGAATCTAGCTTCTATTAAGAAGATGGTTTCAAGGAAAGCAAAAAAGGGTTGGTTGATTTGTTGTTTAAGCAGAATCGTCCAGGATAAACACTAGATGATTCTTTTATGGATTATGATAAATTTTGGAGCCGCTATAGCAGATCTTGTTGAAGAGGTTAGTTGGATTCCTCTTTACATTTGCTTATTTTCTTTCAACTACTTAAACAGATATGCTTATTAGGTTCCTTGAATATGAGAATGAAAGTTGTGGTATTGCCTATTTATGCATGAGTTGGATAAAGATAAATTATATGATAACATATGAAAATCTAAATTTACCAAGGAATCTCTTAAAAACTTCTATTTCTCTTCATATAATGAAGAACTTTGATATGTGTTACATGCATTGTCATGGAATAAGATTTTTGCATGGTTAAGAGAAATTTGGCTTAAAGAGCACCAGTTAGCTTGATTTTTCATATAAAGATGCTTTCAAAACAAGGCATTTAAAAGTGTAAGGTGTGTTTTTTTTTCTTTGGAATATTATGATGTTATCCTTGATGCTTTTGAGCTTTTATGGCTCTTAGGCTAGGTTATCTTTTTGTTGCCCTTTAAGAGCACTCTTTTTTATTTCAGTAAAAATTGATTTGATTGAAATATTCATGTTTAAATTCAATTAAATTGCTCTTATTTTTTCGTTATTATTGTTGTTTCATTGTTTGGACTTTGTTTTCACATGTTTATAATTACTGTTGTCATAGAGTAATGGTATTATTTTGAATTATTTGTAGAGCTATATAGTCTTTTGCTATTTTTATGATCCTTCAATTATATCCATTGTTGAGTATAGCATTCCACCTTTCATATCCTCATTTCTCACCATTTTGTTCTTTCGGTTTCATTTTCCTATGTTCAATTCTCTCACTTTTGACAAAGAAGTTGGCGATGAAGATTAGAACCTACAACACAACTGTCCATTCCCCCTTGGATTCACACGAGAACCAACAACACCATTAGGTATTTCCTCATTTGCAACCTTAATTCTAAAGGTTCTTAGGTAATTTGCTTCCCTATTCATCATAATTTTTTATCCTGTTTGATTCTTTTATGGTACTCTCTCTTTTTTTTTTTAATCTTCTTTTTATTCTTCTATGATACTCTCGCAGGTGATCACTGATTTGGGTTAAGGATAACCTCATGAGAAATAAGACATATCAAGGAAAACCAAAGTCAAAGTTATTATGCATATGTTCATTATGTCAATATTCTTTAATTTGTAATATTTAATTGGTATGGAATAAGTATGAATTATCCTTTTCTATTAGTTCTCATTAATGTGATGTATGAGAAGATGTTACATAAGAAAGATGATGCATTCAATACTCAATTTTATGTTGATAATACAGTGTAAAACTCATATGCTTGAAATCCAATGTGTTTAGCGATGTGTATTTTATCCTTTTTTAATTTTATTACTATATCTTCTTATATTTTTGTATAAACCCATTCATATATGAAAGATGTATCTTATAAACTATTTTTTTTTCTATCTTAATTCAATTTACATGAGTTTTGATTGGTTGCTAATTGTTTGTCTTTCTCATAGTAATCATTCAATATTATTTGTCTGATAAATTTTAGCTCTTACAGGTAATGTTACTTTATAGACTTACTTTTTTATTTTAAGTAACTAATTTAGTTATATGATGGATGTCATATTAGCATCAATAAATTACAAACCCCTCCCATTAAACATAAGCCTATTTTTTAAATTTTTCATCTAAATTTTTTTAGTATATTTCAAATTTAATACCAGTTCATATATATTGATTATACATAAATCATCTATACATATGCAAGCAAATATTGTATTTAATATAAATATAGAATTTAATATCATTGATAAAGCATATCATAAATTATTTTATTTTAATTTTAATGACATTATTATTTTTTAAAATTTTATTCACGTGCATCATATACATATACATTTATATTACATTATTATTTTGAAACACTTCAAACTATTGTTTGTGAAGACTAATACAAATTTATATGCATATTGATTATGTATAAATCATATACAAATATATAGAAATATTGCATGTAATATTCATAAATACTTAAATATCAATCATATATCATGTCATAAAGTAACTTTTTATTGGATATATATTTGTTTTATTTGAAAAAAAAATATTCACGTGCGTGCACGGGCATTTTACTAGTATATATATATATATAGAAATGAACTTTCTCTATTAGATTTAAACGAGAATTTGACTTTTAATAAGACACAATGGAGAAAAAGGATTCATGCAGTTGACCCCACGTACTGGGATAAAGGCTTGTTGTTCTTGTTGTATTATAATACTCAATTATTGAAAGAGTATGTCTTGCTTAGTACTGTGAATTTTAGTCTTAATTTCATAGACTAAGGCAACATTATAAACCTTTAAATATGCTTGTTTCACCCCACACACACACACACACACATTTCAACATCAATACCCTTACTTCTATCAGGTTTTTCCACATCTCCACTCAAATATTTAACATTATCTCCTAGCCCCTGGAATCCAGCAGCACTAACCAAATCAACATCACAATCCACTCTGCCATTAGTTTTATGAACAACATTAACAAAATTTTCAATAGAAGAACCATCAGTTTTATCAACAACAGTTACAAACTGTTCCATCGAAGATGTAGCCAAATCAACCTCTACAGCTTTCCCTCTCCTTATTCCAGGCAGTTTTTGTAAGGGACCAATTCGTTTTAATACATTGTTAATTCGGACTTTAGTATCTCTATTCTCCTTACTCCTCGGCTTCACTACCTTAGTTTTCCCATCTGAAAACTTTAGAATTTTGGGAGCCAAGAGTTGAGCTGGAGAAACCACAGAACCATTATTATTCCCTTTAAATCTCCTTGCCAACGTATGAGAACTAGATTTCATCAAATTCTCTGAAGACACACAACTCCTCATTAGATCTTCCATGATTTGCAAACCACTAGACTCCTGAATGTTACAATTCTGTGTCATGGGTTGTACCAAACCGCCTGGATCATTTAAACTCCTATCAGAAATACCATCCATTCCCTGCTCCACCTTAACCAGTACCTTGCCCAAAACTCTACGTTCAACCTCTTGAGTCAATGATTCCGTCAAACCAAAGGTACCTGTATTAGAATCCTCTTCCATAGCATGCATGTCTGTTTTATTTTGGTCTTTAATAACTTCCCTCCATACAGATTTTGTAACAATAGTCGGAGCAGCTCCCTTGTTATAATTGCCTTGTGTTCTATTTCCAATTGTGACATTATTAGATCTCCTCCTCCTATTGACAATGGTCCACTCTCCATGATCATTATCTACCATCTGCTCCTGAGAATCACCTGTGTCAACAACCCTACTAGCAATAGTAACATAAGATGCTTGAACATCCTTTCCACGCCCAGCATTAGCCGAAATGAGCAGATCCGGCTCATTTCCATTCTTCATCACTTGCTGTTTAGGAAGCAAACTAACTTCCTTACATATCTCTACTTTATGCCCAACTTTCCCACACATTAACCAAATTAGGGGAATTCCTTCATACTCAATAGGTTGGAAAAAATACCCCCCAACCCATGAGCCCACACACCTTTAGGCAATCTCTTTGATAAGTCCAAACGAACACAAATGCGTGCAAATGCACACCTGCTCCAAAGTTTGGTCTGTTCATCCATAAATAATGGTTCACCAACTCCCGCAGCCAGCCTCGCTAAATTTGCCTCGTCCCAATATTCCAATGGCGAACCAGGTAGCCTAATCCAAACTGGAGATGTAAAACCCCTAAGAGATTTAGAGGATAATCCAGTCGACCATTGATCAACTCCTATAATTTGGCCGGCCACATACCAAGGCCCTCCAATCAACACATTATCCCTCGCTTCCATGTTATCAAACCAACATTTGAAAAAAGTCAAAGCCCATAGGCTTAATCATTGTTAATCAAAGGTGTCCCCACTTACGTTGGAGCTCGTTTTGTACAACCCAAAACGGAAGACGTCTTCCAAGTAAGCTTCCAACCAAGGCCCTGCTTAACCTTTGAACATTTCCTCTAGCTTTGTGCAGGTCCATATTAACCAATCCATCTTCCCTTAGGAATCTTCCAACCTCTTCCATCAAGCACAGTTTAACCGGCAAAGCCTTCCTCCATGCATTGGATGCAGAACTGAGGGCTTATTCTCATTGGATAAAATTTGAGGATTTGTGGGCTAATTATCCATAGGCTTGGCATTTAGTGTGGGAGAAGTGGAAGGTTGAGGATTTGGGTAGTGAATCCTCTAAACTTCAGAAGAAATGCCAGCGGACTTTAAAAGCTTTGTTCTTTTGGAGTAAGAACAAACTCAGACTTCTTAAGCAGCTTAAGGAGGAGCTGGACAAGGAGATTAAAATTTTACAGGAGCTGGAATGCTGGACAGATGGATTATATGAGGTCCAAACTGAAGCCTTGAGATTTAAGGTTCAGTTGGAGGCAAAGGGCTAAGGTGAGATGGATTGAAGAGGGTGAAGGGAACACTCATTTCTTTCACTCCATGGCCTCAGCTAGAAGGAGAATTAATGGTAGTAATTCTATGAAACAGACAGATGGTACTGTGGTTACTAAGCATAGAGAGATATTGAATGTTATTCATGGCTTCTTTGAGCAGAAATGGCATGAGCAAAGCATTGTTGAGGATGGGTGGCCTTCCTTTGAAGCCTAGAGGACTTGCTTAGCACCTTTTGCTAAAATACTTGATTGTGAAGTCACTAAAGAAGAGATATGGGCTGTTGTGAGCTCATTTGGCCGAAATATTGCACCTGGTAGAGATGGGGTCACGACATCTTTCTTTAAGTTCTTTTTGGAGATAGTTGGGGAACAAGTCTTGCGGACTTGTTTGGAATTCTTTGCTGGTGGTATTATGGAAATAACTTGGAAGGAAACGGTTGTTGTGTTTGTGCCCAAAGTAATGAACCGGGTCATCCTTTAAAATTTACACCAATCAGCCTTTGCAAAACAATCTATAAGATTGTTGCTAAGGTATTGGTCAACCATCTTAAAGGAGTGTTGCCAAAGCTTATTTCTAAAGAATAAGCAGCATTTGTTCTGGGCCGCTCAATTTCCAATCATTGCTTACTTAGCCAGGAGTTGATGAATAGATTTAAAGTTTCCAAATCAGCTTTGGATTTTAGCTTTGAAGGTAGATATATAGCAACCATATGACAAAATGAGTTGGAGCACTTTGGAGTTTGTTCTCAGACGTATGGGTTTTCCTCGGAGGTTCAGCCCTTAGGTACTTGTATCCAAAATTCGAAGTTCTCTGTCCTTATAAAAGGACAGTTGACTGAGGGGATTACTATAGATTGTGGGTTCAGACATGGGTGCCCTTTATCACCCTATTTATTCATTCTTTGTTCTGAACTATTGTCTGCCCACATTCATCAAAACTTCATGGAGCTAGGTGTTCCAATTTGTGGTGGGGGACCTCCTATCTCCCACCTTCTTTATGCTGTCGATATTTTGGTTTCTGCAGGTGTCTCTATTCTGACTGTGAAGAAGATTACCTCTATTTTGGAAAATTATTGCTCATAAACAGGCCAAAGGGTGAATAGGAGTAAATCTGCTATTATCTTTAGCAAGAGGACCTCTTCTACTACAAGATCTTGTCTTGAAAAAATAACTGGATGCAGGAAGGTGGAGGAGATGGATTACCTTGGCATCAAATTGTCTTTGAGAGGACTTATGAAGAAGGATTTTACTCCATTGCTTCAACAAGCTCGAGCAAAGACGTTATCTTGGGGATTCAGGCATCTTTCTTTGGCAGGTAGAGTTACATTGATTAATGTTATTTTGCTTCCATCATTAGTTTACTTGGTGACTCATATGCTAGTCCCAAAATCTATTTTGAATGATGTGGAGAGGGTTTGTAGAAGCTTTCTTTGGGACCTGGATGCTAATCATAAAAGCATTTATTACATAGTTTGGAAAAGTGTTTCCAAACCAAGAAGGAAGGGTGGTCTTGCTTTTCATGCAAGTTCTGATTGGATGGGACCTCTAAGATAACTGATTGCTTGGGAATACATTAACAAACCAATGAATTTATTTCAGAGATGTATGATTCAAAAGTATGGGGTTTGTTTTTGGAATGCTGATGTCAAACGAGGTGATTCGGCTGTGAGGAAGTTAATATGTAATGGAGTAGATAGTTTAAAGAGCTGCATTAGATGGAAGATTTGTAATGGTAGAAACATTGAGGTATTAAACCATGTTTGGATTTGGGACAGATCCATTTCGGTTTGGCCCACGTTCTGTGATGTAGCAGCTATTGAAGATCTGCGGGTTGCATAATTCATCACATGCCATCTGGTAGCTGGAAAAAGCAGAGGCTGCGGGTGTGCTTTGGTGAGCAATTAGTTGACAGTATTGCTGAGATAAAAA